TTAATTTTTTTTAAATATTTTTCTGCAAATATTTTAAGCTTAAGCCGTTTTGTCATTTGAGGGGAATTTTTCAAAAAAAAATCTTTAAGAAACTATTTTTATTCATAAAAAACTCCATCTTTGGAGGTATTTTCAAATCGGTCCAACTCACTTAAATCTTAATATTTTTCCGAAATATTTTGGTGGACGTCTTAAAATATAATAGATTTTATAATTCCAGTGGAAAAATAGTACCGATTTTTTTTTGTATGAGGAGTGATGCAGTCTAATGTACATAAGTAAGGATATTGAAAGATAAAAATTGCAAATGATATTTGCCTTTCATTCATTTTTTCGATGTCCCTGGGGAAATCCTGCCGTCCTATTAAAAATTTAAAGGTGCAGATTTACTAGAAATTCGTTCAAAATTAGGAAAAATATCGAATTTTTCGCATTTCCAAATTTTCATGGACGATCAATTCAAGTTATTAACTAAAACTTCAACTAAAAGTCGGCGGGGGTTATCGTTATCCTACGGCCATAAAACTTCATACCTACATATGCTATTTACGCTAAAAAGCTCAAATATAGAGGGTATGCATATCGAAATTTGCAAACGAATTTGTTTCCATATATTCTTGGACAGTCAACATTGTAAGTAAATTAGCAAAATTCAACAAAGTTCCATCAAAATATTAAACTTTATTGCACTTTACGACAGTAAAATTTAGTGTGCTATAAAACTGCATACCACAAAAGATTCTGCTTAACAAGTTTGAAACTTTGATAAAACCTTGTTGAATTTTTCTAATTTTCGTACAAAGTTTGAAATTTGTATTTACATATACATATGTACATATCGTCGCTACCATGTCGAACTATCGAATGTGCAAAAATGCTTTTTCAATTACGATACCTTGCGCATGCGTTTAGAATGATACGCAAGTTGGCAAATCGTCACATTTGTAGTGTTTTTAGAAGCAGAGGATACTGGATTTAACAAAGTGTCAAATCCCACAGTTTTTCCTAATGACAACAACATTTTTTACAACAGTTTTTTTGCTCACTTGAAAAATACCCATTTTCACATTCGATAGCTTGGACATGGTAGCGACGATATGTACACATAATTAGCTGTTATTTTATATAAAATTGAAACAAGCAAAAGAAAAGTAGTAAAAGCTGGTCAAAAAGTCGTATTTCTATTATTTCGGCCATATGTATTTGTATATAAAAAATGCGAAAAAATACACAAATTTTAAATTTGAACTTTTCTCCATATTTCCAAGGCGACCAATAGCAGATATACATATATCTAAGCAAGTAAATTTATATGTATTTAATGCGTATGTAAGTATGTGGTTGTACATTACATGGCAGTGTACAAAGTCCATATCCATATAAAAACCAATTAATTGAAACATGCGCCCCCGTAAGCTTTCCAATGTGCATAATGTGTTCTTATTTCTATGAAATATGTATGTACGTAGTACATATATATGTATTTTAGATTATTTTTAAAATATTGCATTTATTTATTATTTTTTTTTAAATTGTTGCTGCTCTTATTGAAGTTGATTTGTTTTTGTTTACCTCAAGTCAGAAAGAAAAAAAAATGGGTAAACAACGCGTGTTGAGCAGTCGTCGGCCACATGAACGAGTACTTGTACAGATACTTACTTATACTTATTTCCAAACATTGCTGGCGATATCATAGCACTAAAAATGCGCAACTTCTTAACACAAGAAAATCTATTCATAAAAACTTACATAGATACACATATTGTACATACAGTGACTCAAACAAATGACCACGTGTTGATTTTCTTCAAATATTCGTAATGTTCTTCGAGCTAAATTTTTTTATTTTTTATTTCTATATAAAAATATCGTCTAGGCTTGAACCAAAACCGTGTAAATCAAAGTTTCAACTTTATACAAAACTTAGGAATATTCAAAAAATTTTCATCAAATTTTCAACTTTTTATTCTGATTTTTTAGTTGAATAGCCCATACGATTTTGGTCAAGTTTCACACGGCTAAAAAATCGCGTTGAATTATGAGAATTACTTTTTTGTTGACGGATTTTTGCACTCTTTTTCTTATAAGAATGAATTTCTTATTCAACAAAATATCAACGCAAATTTTTGTAAATTGCACTTTTTATATTAAAAAGCCCGAAAAAGTAGCCCCCATAAAAAATTCTCAAAAATCAACACGATTATTTGCAGTTTGAAACTTTGCACTTGTATGGGCTATAAAATAAAACTGCATACCCAAAAATTGTCTAAAAATTCAGAATAAAAAGTTGAATATTCGGTAAAATTTTTTTGAATTTTCCTGAATTTTGTATTAAGTTTGAAACTGTGATTTACACGGTTTTGTTTAAAGATTAGACGATATTTTTATATAAAAATAACAAAAATAAGTAAAAAGTCTAAGTTCGAACATTAGATACCCGGGCGCAAGTATCAAATATAGATTTTTCACCTTTCCGAAAACTACCGCTTCATGGTAATCAGGGGTTTCAAACATCTTCGATAAACTTATGTAGTTATACCACGCCTAAATTACCGTTATATGGGATGTGGGCGTGGTTGTTGCCCGATTTTTTAAATTTTCAGCCATTGCGTATGTTGTACCAAGACCAACAACTGTGCCAAGTTTGGGAGATATTGGTGGAGCGGTTCCCGAAATATACACGTGTAATCATAAGTGGGCGTGGCAACGCACATTTTCCCAAAATTTATAATATTCTAATTTTTCGCCTCACAATAATTGTAAATATCAATTTTAAGTGAATAAGCATCAGTAGTTACTAAAATATCTGTTTTCGTATTTCCGAAAACTACAGTTATATAGGAGGTAGGCGTCGTTATTGTCCGATTTTGCCCATTTTCAATACCATCCGTCCTACGTCGAAAAGAAGTACACATACCAAGTTTCGTTGAGAAATATATTACTAGAGTTATCGTGTGCACAGACGGACGGACGGACATATAGTCGCCACTTAATCAATTTCTTTTTTATTATCTATCTATCTATTTATTATAATATCCTTGTGCCCAAGTGCCCTCGGGTATAAAAATTTTGCTGGAAAAATATTACGAATATTTACAAAAAAAAAACAACACGTGGTCATTTGTTTGAGTCACTGTATGTACATGTTGTATCTACATATGTACATATTCATACATAGGTTTCTCTAACATTCTCGAGCTTTTTCGGCATGTTTTCACACTCATATTAAACAGATGTCAACGAACCACTTTTATAACCACTCGAATACAGCGTGATACAAATAGAGACATACAGATATGCATACCTACAATGTACATATGTATGTATGTATGTATGGTAAATGAAGGGCAAACATGTGTCACACTAACCGACTTGGCATTTTATTATTTCTTAGTTTTACTATTAGTTTTGTTGATGAGTTAGAACATTTTTTAATAAAATATGTAATGTTTTATTTATTTTATTTTTTGATATTGGTTTTTATTTTTTTTAAGCCAGTGGTAAAAATAAGTCAACAACCCTTATCACAATGATATCGTGGCACCTTCAATGCTGTTTTTCTGATTAAAATATGTATTTAATTAGAGATTTTAATTAAGAACATAAAATTATAAAAAAGAACCCACTCAAGCCTTTGGGGTAAACGTACTCTAAATGCATGACATAATTTAATGTATTCGACTTTGATATGAGAAAATCCTAAGAAAATATGTACAATCAAAACAAAAGGAAATAAAATTATGTACTCCAAATATAGTTTACTTAACCTTCTATGCAAGTCGTCCAGAGTTTCTTCGAATCTTACAAATAGTGATTGAGTGATAGTTCTCTTCTGTGAGCCATTTAATTTTGGTTGTGAAGAGGAAATAATCACTGAGAGCTTAACCCGAAATATATGGCGGATGAAAAGGCAGTTATTCTGCTGCGAATTACAAATTTGCTATAGGAACCACGCGCGAGTGCCGCCGTGAATTTTCTTTTTGAAGAGCACGGGTTTTGCCACAAGCATCATAAAAAACTGTCTCTCAATCACCTAGTGACAGGCCGATTGCTCGGAGATCCAAGCTCAAAAACTCGTCTGGATTTCCATCCGATCATGCCATCGTTATCAATTGAAAAATTTAGTTTACTTAACCATTCGTACTTGATTCTTTTATGTACTTTTTTATTAAAATGGAAAAATTATTTAGTAAAACTTGGATATGAGCTTATTAAAAAAACTTTAAAATAGTTATCGTTTTCGATTCGGTTTCTTATTTGCATGAAATTATTTTCATCAGTATTGTAAATTTACAACTTTTAAATCGGTTTCATTTTATAATAAACCTCAAAAGAAATACTTTGTATTGATTCTTATTATTTTTTTACGGCTAAAAATAACAAAAGTTATGCTCCTCTTGCCGTTTGAATATTTTTTTGGAAAGGGCCCGAAATGTGCGGAACTAATCGCGAAAACACCGAAAAGTTCCGAAACATTCCGAATTGTCTTGAGACGTTCCGAAAAGTTCCGAAAAATCCCTTAAGGTTAAAAAAACTCCAAATGGGCTCCCAAAAGGCATGAAAAAATCCGAAAATTTATAAGTCAAATATATACATAAATATTTATCGTATAAATGATAAACAATAAATAATAATAACTAATAAATATTAAATAGGGAGAATACATAAATAAAATTGTATTTGTTATTCCAGAGATTTCATCGAGTTGTGCAAATGACATTGCTATTATTTATCTTATCAATTAATTATTTTGTTTGCGCAACTTATTTACCATTAAGAATTGCTCTCTAAACAACCATTTAAATGGAGTATTTTCGCCATTCAAGCGCGTAATCAATATACGCATAACTAACATTTAGAGTACCACTCAATTATGTAAGGAAGTACATACTTCTAAGCGAACACTAAACACTTCAACTTGTTTATTACCATAAATTTGCTATTACTTGAATTCTAATTAGCCTCTTTTCCCCCAATTTCTCTATCCCACCTCTTTGCAGTGAGTCCAGCTCGGTAGCCGCATCGACCGCAGATACCTCGTCACTACCACCCAGAGAGAAACCGCGCAGCATGAACAAACTCTGTCGTCAAGTGTCAATTGAATCACCCGGTCCAGTGGTGAAGAATTGTGTCTTCAATTTTTTCGTACCCATAGAGGACACACCACCACAGGGCGCTCGCATCAAAATCGTTTATGCCGGTGCTTGTTATCGTCGCCGTGATCGCTCAGCCTCAATCACCAGCATGTCGTCAGTGTCGTCAGATCTTAGTGACTATTGCCCGACTTTGCCCACTCAGTCGTCACCTGCACATCAGATGCGCGAAAATACAGCACATCAAGGCATACGCGAGGGTTCCATTTATGCCGGCTACGAAGTAGCCGGTGTTATTGAAGCACTTGGCGCCGAAATTACAGATGCCAACAACTATGGCCTACGTATTGGCCAACGTGTAGTGGTCTATCCATTCGATGAGGCACCTGCCGGTTATGCTGAATTGATGGTAGTACCCGATCTCAAGTACATAGTACCAATTCCTGATAATTTACCATTGAGCGTTGCCGCTCTATTGCCAACTGGTGCTTTGCTAGCGATGAATGCCGTCTTCAAGGCTTACGAAGTAGTCACAGAGTTGTCAAAGAAACGCCCAGCAGAAGAGGCGGATAAGAAGTTCAAAGTGCTGATTGTTGGCACTGGCGGCTTGGCATTGTGGGCTGTACGCATTGCTACACATCACTTCGCATCGACTGGGGCCAACAACTATGTTGACATTACTGTGGCCAGTCTGCGGGACGAAGGCTTCCGCTTGGCCACCGAGATTGAGAAGTAAGTTAATGGTGGAGGACGCGCTTTTTTTGTTATCAAGCGCATTAACTAAGTATGGTCTTAACTTTGCAGTGTCAGCGTAGTGCAGTGGAATGAGTGTCTCTATGAGCCACAACTGATCGAACGCACCAAGGATGTGTGCGGTGGCCCCGTGGATGTCGTTATTGATTTCGGCACAACTTCACGCAGTTTACATCGATCGATGCATTGTCTGACTAAGGTAATTAAGTAATTAAAGTTAAGTTTTTTTTTTTTTGTTATGAGTACTACAAAGACATTACTTCAAATAAATACTTTACACGTACATTACTTGAATGAAACAGATATTCATTTTAATTCTGCTTTTAGGGTGGTGTCGTACTCATAAGCGAAGATGTCGCTGAGAAACTAATGCCCAAATTTTCGCGCCTGGCTACTGAATACCAGCAGGAGATTATACCCATATCAAACGGCACAGTGGAGCAGCTGCACGAGCTCGTTCAATTAGTTGCCAGCAAAACGGTAAGCAAATAATTGATAATTTACTCATTTACTCAACCAAAAAGAAAATATATCAAACTATGTAGATTATACATTCTCTAAGTTCACTAGTAGTAGTTGTTGTTGTAACAGCATACAACTTTCCCCAGAGAGTTTTTAGGGAAGGATACTAGATATGGCGTTATGGATCTGTGTCGTTTCGGTCGCTTAGACCCGGCTGTCGTGGGAATTTCAGTCGATGGCATTAATTAATAAATTATAATTGGTTTTGTTTTTACCTGTACACATATTTAGAAAGAAAACTCTATTGGCTTTTGGTTTTGGTTTCTTTACTGACAAATCGATTAATTTTGCTTTTGTAAGGCAAACATGAAATGCAGAGTTTGCTTTACAAACGACTATTGTCCATATGACCGACTGCTGTAGAGATGAGGATGAAATATAATCAATTCAGGACTTCATATTCGAGTGTCCCATACTCCAAAGAATTCGCCTCAAACTTGCGAGAACTTTCAGCACTTATCACAAAACCTCGTTCAGTCGTAATGAAACGCAACAATTCCCCTAAAGCGTATTTGTCTTCTTCCAGCAACGACAATGCGTTTTAGAAGAAGTTGCAGTGGAATATCTGCTCCGAGCAACGACAGAAGTCGTCTGAGCTAATTCCCAGGCCTTGCTTGTAGGCTCGCAGCCTGCAATAGCATGTCAGTATAGCGCTCATAAGTGTTAAACTTGTCTTTAGTAGAGTGATTCCTAAACCTTTTGGAGTTGTAACATCCTATAGTTTTGCGGTATTCTGTAGCCTGGTGAATTCCCCCAATTTTCTCGTCTAAGACGCCGCTCCTGTTCTCTTTAATATTCGCTAATAGTATGTGGTCATATAGCAAAGACAGATTTGTATTCCTCTGAATTTCTCTACACATTCTCTTCTATAAGATAGAGCTTTTAGTGCAGCCGGAATTCTTTGCAAATGGCAATGTGTTCACCTATTATATGCATGTCTCTGCAGGTTTACGTCAACAAAAAAACTTCTATTTGGAAGATGCTAAAAATGTTTGCCTTAATTATGCCATCTCTATTAAACTGGTAAATGGGAATTTTGGCTTTGATTTTCTGATTAGCCTGCTTGAGACCAGCACGTCTTTTCTTCTGCCATCTCCCATGAATTTTAAAAACTTTTAGGTCTATTCTAGGACTATGTAAAGTGGTGTCAGGTTCGGCCTTGTTTCGATTTGGTGTTTTGGACAATCTGTTTTTGATTTGGAGCTTAAATAATATTTAGATACATTCATAGTTAATTACCATTGTTTAATTAGAATTTGCTTTTCATAAACAGATCGAACCGATACCGCATTCGGTATTCCCCTGCGAGCAAGCAACAGAAGTCGTGCAGAAATTATGTAATTCCGAAATACCCGGTCGTGCCATATTAAAGTTTCACGATATCGAATAAATCATCTTCAATCAGGAATGCATCGACTACAAGGATGAATGAGTTCATCTTTCCTTCACATCATCCCCAGTCGCCCAGTTAAATTCTGCTGTATCACAGATTAATTATTTATTACTTAACTAACCAAAACAATTTGTATGTATATTTAGTCCGAAAAGTATAAAGTTTTAGATGTAAAATCAGCAAAAAATTTATATGCGATAAAACTAGAGGAGAGTATGCATCATTTTGGTCGTCCGCACAAATACTTATGAGATCTTTGTGCATTTAAAATGTGGAAGAAAACCAAAAAAAGTATGTATTTAAATGCACTGAAATTATGTTATTAGTTGTTTTTGTTAGAAGAAAAACAAAACCATTACTACTTTTAATATTAAAATTTTTAAATTACGCTTTGGACGACCGATGCAGTACATATGTATGTATATGTGCATATAGATGTACATATGTATGTACATATATACATATGTTAACATACGATTATAATTAATCATCAACAGCATTACATACAGGGCTGCAAACCACTCCAAAAATCGGTGCGGTTCGGTATAGTGGCTCGAACCACTTACGAAAAAGCGTGTACCGGAACAAGAACCGGTTCACGAGTATCCCTAACCGCGGTTCGGTTCGGTTCAAGTGGTTCAATTTCTTTATGCTAAAGTATATAAATTTAACAAAAATATGACAAATCCATAATATAAAAATTAAAGGGTGAGATCAAATTTAAATATCCACATGTACTATAGTGGTGAAAAAATAGGGACGCGATATTTTATCAAGTATTACCTATTTTTCATTTCTTTATTTATTGTTTATTTTTTGAACATAATTATGAATAGTCTACACGGTTTTCATCTAAATTGCAAACTTCAATTTTTCATAGATTTTTTCATGTATGTTGGACAAATTTTTTCTATGGAAGAAAACAAAAAAAATATATATTTAAAATCAACAAAGTGGTTAGCCTAGTCGAGTATGTAGATTAATAAAACAGCACACTCAGAATTTTTAATTGACCCTCAATATCTTGGCTTAATGTTGAAAACCTCAACTTCGGTAGGCTGGAACTTATACTTGGCCTTGACTTCATATGTACAATAGCGTGGGCCGAAAATCCGCTTTTTTTTTAATTTTGGTTGTGTGAAAGATGAAAATTTGTGGTCAATATTTTAGGCTCGCCCAAGTCCAGCAGAGTTCAAGTGCTAAAAAATAATTTTCTTAGCTTACCTCGATTCTCTACCAAAAAAGTACATATTCCAAATTATGTAGGACTAATACTTTCAGTATCTTCGAAGTATTAATAAAAAAATAATAATTAATCAATATATTTATTAATTTTTATTTTTTGAGAACATTGCACTTTGATGGACTTGGGCGAGCCTAAGATATTGACCAAAAATTGTCATCTTTCACAAGATTGTCTTTAGAGCCATATTTTTGCTATTACCAATCAAAATCGAAAAAAGCGGATTTTCGGCTCACGATAATGTACAAGTATGGTCAAAATAATTTTAGTGCGGCATTTGTCTATTTTTCTTTTGTCGGTTTAATGTTCATCAATTTTTTATAAAATATAGCTCGTTATATAACAACAAGCATATAAATCCAAATTGCAAACTTTGTACGAAAATTAGAAAAAATCTACAAATTTCAACAAAATTGCATTAAAGATTCAAACTTTTTAATCCAAACGAAAAAAATCCGAATTTTTGGAATTTTTTATTTAACTGGCTTTGTTAAGTATTTTCTTCTATACAAAAAATAAATCAAGCATTATTTATATGGACGAAATTACAACTCACGGAGGTGCCATCAAACAAAAAAATGTTTGAAGTTTTACTATACGGGTTGCACTTTTAGACCAAGTGGTGTATTACAAAACTTGAAAAATGCTTCAGTGGACTTTCATTTTGAACCGAACCGAACCATTTTTTGGAGTGGTTTTCGGTTCGGTTTTGGCATTTCAAAATAAAAATGGTTCGGTTCGTGCTTCGGTTCGAGACCCGAAAAAAGCGACGGTTCGGTTCAAAACCGGTTTGCAGCCCTGATTTCATACGCAATCCTTATTACGCATAAGCATACATACATTCATACATACCTACAGCATGGTAATTCGCATTCATGCCAATAGTGGATATACTCCCAACTGACGACAAAACTCAAAACTATGTATTCACGGTTGTGTGAGAATAAAAATAATCAAAGGACAAGTTTTATCTAACTTATTCGTAATGTACTGTAATTTAAAATATCTTTGTAATAATCGTAAAAAACATCGATCCTAGCGAATTGAATGAGTTTATAAGATTACTCAAGAGCCAGTGGCATGAATGCCCGCACACATTTGCATGTACATATGTATGTGAGGTTAAAGTTAAAAACACAAGTCAACACGTTTTTAGGAGTACTCATACACACCAGTACACAGATTTGTCTTCAGTTTAAATATTTTTTGATCTACCTTATTGGACTAGTTGCACTTACAGATGCACTATTATATGTTCATACATACAAACATTTATACAAACATATTCATATACATATATTCGCAGTGTAAGAGCTCTTAGGTTTTAAGTTAGTTGCAATACTTTGCTTTCGGTAGTGATGGTTTAGTTATTGTTTTAAGCGCAACAACAAAATTTTAGTATAGTTTTGGAACCCCTGACTTCAACATTGTGATTAAAAATATTTTTGTATTTTATTTTACATTTTATTTTTATTTAATTTATCATGTATGTAGTATAAATATTTTGTTTGAAAACATCACTTCACCAAAATGTATTAGTATTTGAATTGGAAATTATTGTTTAGTTAGTTTACGAATACTTATTTATGTGTAATGATTTTTATAATTATTATTTCTGTAAATACATACTTTCGTATACTACTTACAAATTTATATTAACGGATTTATACTTCTAATTTTTAACAAATATTTTATTCTCAGTGTATCAAAAATAATGAACAAATATAAAAGAAAATAAAAAACAAATATCTTTGTAGATGTTCAATAATAATTTATGTATTATTAATTGTTACTTCTATTATTGTAATGCAATGTATGCGTACAAAAATGCTATTTGTACTCTTAAAATTTAAAAAATACTTCAAGTTATCTATCAACTCGCACAGTTATTTGTCATAAATGGCGAAAATTTGTGCAGTGTGGTACACGAAATTAAGAAAAATTTATTAAATAAAGTAAAAAACAGAAAATGTTACAAAAGGTTTTCTTTTTTTCTCGAAAGAATACTCCCACTCTCCTATTTAGAAGAATCGATATAGACGGTGTTGCTTTTGTAATAGTCAGATTATAATAACAAGGATATCCAGCTTTAATAGAACGTCAAAACGAAAAATCAATCGAATCAAAAGAGTTCAGAACAAAGAAGTAGCGAGCTGAAATGTGCCTTGTTCGTACATATGTATATCTACTTGAAATATCGAAGTAAAACATTTAGGAAAGTCAAGTAGTGCTCTTCGAGTGATTCTTTTGGTAGTGGTTGGTTGGCCTCCGAAATCGGCACCCACAGGTAGCGAGGCTTGTTATTAGAGATCAATGCGCTGTATTTTTTTGTAGTTTGTCGAATATCAATTACTACATAAATTTGACTACAATCAAGAACTCTCATCATTCACTTACCGTTTGCATTTTCTTCTTCTCCCTCCTCCTCTTCAATAAATACATTTGTAGAAATTACTTGCTGCTTAAAAATTTTATGTTTTCGCTTTTTATGTGAGCTCAAACCGGAAATCAATCGAAAGCGTTCACCACAAACTTTGCATTCATAGCGCTTAACATCTGAATGCAGTAGCTTATGACGGAAGAGGCCATGCATATTTGTAAACCCTTTGCCACAAATATTACAAATTTTATCACGTATATTTAAATGTGTACGTATGTGATCGTCTAACTGACGTTTTCGCAAAAAATCTTTAGGGCACATAGTACACTTAAATCTTCGCAAACGTTCGTGCATAATCTTTACATGCTCTGTCATTTGGTGCTTAAGGCGAAAGCCCTTGCCACAATGTTCACAAATACTTTTTCGCTCTCCGGTATGTACCATTTGGTGCATTTCCATGTCACGACGATTGGCAAATCCTTTCGCACAGTAGGGACAAAACCATTCGAATTCTTTTGTATGAGCGCGTATTTGATGCTCCCTTTTTATACTTCGTTGTGCAAAACGTTGTTCACAATAATCACATTTGTGTGGTAGCTCACCAATATTGTGCACTTTTAGCAAATGTGTCTGCAACGTGGCATTACTGCGTAATATACGCTCGCATATATGGCATTGTAAATTGTAGTCGGATTGTGGCAGAAAATTACAACGTGCTATGAAATCCTGCTCGTCTTTTGTTAGTGATTCATTTAGGATCTTCTTTTGCTGCAAGTTATAAAAGTGCTGCTTCAACCGAGAGATAGCGTAATAAAGCTCATCATGGCTGAATTCGACATTGTATATATGTTGTAAATTCGCGGCGATTTCTTCATAAGCTTTTTTGCGAATATTTAACACTGAATAATTAGGGTGAGTTTTGTCCCACAGTACAGGGTGCATGGCACAGAAGTCGATAAACCCAAGTGTAAATTCATCACTTACGGAAAATGAGATTTTCTGTAAATTCAACCGGAAAATTTTAGCCAAAAACATTGCGTAACATAAGTACATACACATATTGGTATTAAAGCAAGTTTTACTCAGTGTGAATTACTCACCTTATAGCCGTTACTACGTATTAGATGCATATTGTCCAATTCCGCATCAGCTAAAAATTTGCAGCGTTCGTAATAATATTTACGAATTGTATTTAAATCTCGGCATGAATAATAGCATCTTTTGTAAAAAATGTATAATCGTTTAATGTCACTGTTGATTTTTCCTTCCGTAAGCTGCAAACTATAGTTATTCAAAAAGAAGTCTTTTATTTTGATGATCGCTTGCCGGCGCTCCTTAAAGTCATTATAAGCTGGGTCATGTGGATTCCATAAACAAGGCTGATCGCGAAAGCATTGAATGAAATCACGTGTAATATTATTTCGGGTAGAAAACTTCACAACAGACTGCTGCAAAGGAAAGAACAAAATCTGCATACATGCCAAAACAAAACATCACAAATACTAAGTTTAGTTTTGTTGTTGTTGTAACGGCTACAACAACCCCGACCAGATTGTCGTTAAGCTCTACTAGCGGTAGCCCTAGGAAGCGTGCAGCCTCGATGGGGTCTGTCCATATGGACAGGGGCATCAGTAGGGTGGGGTTCAGTGCGCATGCGAAGAGATGCTGTGAGTCATGGGGCGCCTCTCCGCATGCCGGGCATTCGTTTACAGCATCCTCATTTATTCTGCTCAGGTATGAGTTCAACCTGCTACAGTATCCAGAGCGTAATTGGGCTATTGTGGTCCGAGTCTTCCGGAGAAGACGAAGTTCTATCTCGTCCACGTCTGGTGGTTGTGTGCCCAGAACGCCATTCACATGTCGCGAGTCTACATAACTCGAGACTGTCTCTCTGTGAATGCCGTGCAAGGCCTGTCGATAAGCTGTCGAGTCCAGAGGTTTATTGATGAACCTCTGGACTTCGGCCGTCAGGTCGTAGAGATGCCTCCTGACGTGCCTGGGCGAGGGCTCTTCGGCAAACAGTTGTCTATTTGGGTGACAACGTCTGCGGTCCCAACTAGAAACTGCTTGCAGACCATTGTTTTGCTCCTTAACGGGGAACATATGGGCCTCGTCGTGCAGGTGATGTTGCGACGACATCAAAAGGCATCCTGTCGCTCTCCTGAGTGCCGTGTTTTGGCAAGTTTGCAGCTTTATCCACTGCGTCCTACTAGTCCCGGCGACCACACAAGCGCTGCACAGTTCAGAACCGGCCGTGCGTTGCCTTTGCTCCAGGTGCTGCCGGCTAGCGACTTGAGGACCTTGTTGCGGCTTTTGTACTTTTTTGACAATTGCGGTTGTATGCGCCTAGAAGTAGAGCAAACTGTCGAAGGTTACTCCGCGGATCTTCGGGTTGTTCACCGTCAGCATTGGTTCGTCATCGACGTGAATTCCTAGTTATAGTCTGACCTCCTTCGTCCAGGTGGTAAACAGTGTTGCGGAGGATTTTGTAGGGGAGAGGGTTAGGCTCCGTGCAGTGCAGAAGCGAAAAAGCTCGGCGAGATAACCGTTTACTTTCGAGCATAGGTCATCAATTCCATTCCGAGACGCCATTATTGAACAATCGTCAAGCATAAGGGACAATGGAGACTCCCTCTGGTGGCGGAGGGAACTTTGAAATGTAAAAGTTAAACAGTAATGGGGAAAGGACACCTCCTTGTGGAACCCCCTGTTTTATTTTCCTAGGCTTGCTCGATTTGTCTCTAAAAGTTACTGACGAGTGACGACCACTCAGTTAATTCGCCGACCACCGTTTGGGTCCCTGTGGGAGAGAGGAGGCATCTATGTATTCTAGTAGCGTTGAATGACCGACAGTGTCGAACGCCTTAGACAGGTCCAGCGCTACTAGAATGGTTCTCTCACAGGGGCGGTTTCGGTTAAGGCCACGAGTTATCTGGGTATTTATGGCGTTAAGTGCTGTTGTTGTGCTGTGGACTTTACGGAACCCATGCTGATGCCTCGCTTGGGTCAGGTGGTTTGTATAGTGCGGGAGTAGAGGGGCCTCTAGTGTCTTCGCTACCGGAGAAAGGAGAATTAAACCGGCGATAGGACTCTCCTTTGTTGGACAGTTTCCCCGGTTTAAGCAGTGGGACCACTCTCCCCATTTTCCAGATGTCTGGAATGATGAGAATGGCCATTGACAGGTTGAGGACATTAGTTAAATAATCCACTCCCGCGGGACCCAAATTTTTCAAAATTAACATGCAAATTCCGTCGGGTCGGTGGCTTTGGAGGCTTTCGCCTACCTTTACGCTGCCCATAATCCTGGTGGGTGCATCGCCCTTCATTGTGCAGAATGTCGAATCGTCTATCTGCTCAGCGAATTGTGTTCCCATACAATCGTTTGACAGGCTTGAATGCCAAGATCGTGGTGCGCATTAAAGTCACCAACTACCATCACCTCTGAGGAGCGCACCTATTTCAGGGTGATATCCTGCCGGGCAGCTAGTGACAGGGGGTATATATACGTTAAATATTTCGAGCTCGAAATCGCCTGACCGGACAGCAATATCCTGACATTCTAGGATAGTATCTCTGCGGTCGATGTTTGCTTCGATAAGACGTTACTGCACGGTGTGGTGCGCGATGAACGCTAGGCCATCACCATTATCTCGCTCGCGATCTCGACGGTGCACGTTGTATCCGACGCAATTCAACAATGTTGAATTGCCATGCAGCTTCGTCTCTTGGACCGCAGCTAATAATATTCCGTGCCGGCCCATAAAGACTGTTATCACCTCGATCTTTCTCTGAATTATAGTTAAATTGTAAAATCTTCGTGTGCCTAGTGAGACTTATTGGAATGTGAGGCGTTGCCGGACCGCCACATGCTGTGCTTGCTGCTGCAAACACTGTTGCCCTGTGGTGGTAGTGCGCGGTAGTCCCAAAGACTTTTTGGGGAGTGTTGGCGGAATCCGTTGTACCGTGGAGGCAGCAAGGGGCCACATATGCGTTGGTCTACTGCATGTGAGTCGTAAGGCCTGAGCAAACTCGGAGGTGGATCCAACAAATACATGTGTTGCATCTAACGGAGGTGGAGTTGTGGTGGAGTCGTCTCTGGCACACTCAGCAGGTATAGGTTTCTGGTCCAGCGTTCGACTCAATGCCAGCCCTGAGCAGAAGTATGCGAAGAAGATGTAGCCCTATGGACGTACAACTTTTGAGGGATTGCACCGACCTAAACGGGGTTACATCGCCGAAACAACAGCCCTTGGTCGGCTAAAACTCGAATCATTCCGGTAAGTAGAACGAGCTGTCGTGGGAAAGTTTGTTCGTTAGTTTTGTTCATAACTTACGGTTTGGCGTTTATCTTGAAGCGTATCTATGCCATCATCTGATAAGTCACATCCACTTTGCGTGCCATAGTTATATTCTTTTTCATTTGATGACTTGAAATAAAATTAAAACAAATCAAATGACTTACTAAAACCAGCTACAAAAACATTTACCTCATTTTCACTTTGGCCAACGAAAGAACTTTCGCTTTCCGTCTCCGTAATGGGACCTTGTTCGAGCACCGATTTTGCGTAGGGTTCTAGAAACGAGCAGGCTTTTAAGTAGTTTTCTTCAATAGCCGAAATTTCGATTCCTTCCTCCAACCTTCTAGCTATGTCAATATATTGACGGCGAAGTTCAGAAAGAGACTCTTCTAAATTAGATGTAGAAATTAGCATATTTTGCTCGGCAAACGCTCTTAATATATCCTTTTTTGCAAGACATTGTTTTCTATTGGTATTATTACCGAAATTTTTCATTGACCAAAGAGTGGGAAAGAATTGGTATATTTCAATGAATTTGTGCGTTGCTACATTTTCAACTTTCAAATCTATATTAATCTGAAATCATAGTTGAGTTTTACGAAACTAATGTTTTTATTTGCTTTTATACTTGAACTCATCTCACCTCTTGTGTAAAAGATTCTGGAGATACAGGATTTTGATTCATGTTAAAATGTAAATCCCCCTGTGAATCATTTATATCTTCTTCGTAAATAGATTTGTTTAATGAGTTTTCATTATCAGAATCTACAACTAGTACGTTCTCCGCACTCTCGGCATTGACATCTTGATCCAGTTGACTTTCCTCGGATATATCTTCCAATTCATTAACCTTTTTATTCAACTCACTCTGGTTCGGGGAAATCCTTCTATCATTCGTTTCCATGTCTACGTCGACACAATGCGTATGACAATCCACCGTTGTCAGTCTTTTACTTTCGACCTGTGATTCCAATGCATCCTCAGGACATTCAATAAGCCATTGTGTTTCTTCTTCAACACCCATATGAAGCTCCCTTAAATGCTGCAGAAATGTTGCCCATTGACCATAATTTTTGTCACAATAAAGGCATTTCAATGCAAAATATTTATACTGGCTAGTGGCCAAGACATAACCACATGGTCTAAGGTCTGACAAAATGGAAGCATTGCTCATTATTATTAACTATTTATGCCCTCGGTCGTCGGTCACAATTAAACTATTGATCACTTATGATGTGCAAAACGTATACCAAGGCGAATTTATACATATATTTATTTATGTTTTTATTTATTTATTTATTATTTATTTATATAGCTTCGCCTCGAAATATACGAAAAAATACATTTTATACAAAACAAACCGTGAATTCGCCTTGCAGTAGAGCTGGGATATTATCGATAGTAACATCGATAGTATCGATAGTTAAAAACTGTCGCCACTATCGATCGTTTTTGAAAACTATCGATGTCAGTTTTAGCAAGACTTCAGAATGTCTCTTCATTACATCTCTACATTAATTTATTTTTTTTTATGCAAGAAAATTCACAACACAGGCGGGAAAAATAAAAATTAAGTCACTGGGATTTTTAGCAACTATAAGCTTACACTGAGTTATAGTAAAATTTAATAAGCTATAAAACTGCTTACACAAAATGTTTATAGAAACTCGAATTAAAAAGCATGAATTTTTAATTATATGGTAGTTTTTTGTTTTGTAAATTTTTTATAAAAAATTAGCAGACACTAAATAAACAAAAAAAGTAGTCAAAACTGCTAAAAAATGTTGTGGTGCTATTATTTTGAGCATTACTATATTCGTTTTCTTATAAAATGGTAAAATGTTAATAATTTCCCTTGTACGGATTTTGATATGCTCCTCCGCATTTGATCTCAGTTGAACTTTTATACGAATGAGTTGTCAATTTAAACGAATATCTTTTATTTTTTTGTTTTGTAGTATTATAAATGTATTTTTATAGCGAATTTCACTTCTTTGCACTTTAAAAGGGACAAACACAATCCGATTTTAATTTTGCCATATAAAAAATAAATTCAGATTTTGCCTGTCGCTATTCAAGGGGATGCAAGGGTATGTATGTAAGTTATATAATTCAGACGCATAAATTAATAAGTTTATTTTATTATTATAAAAAGTTATTTTTGATGCACTCAAATCAAAAAAAAAAAATATACAATCTCTTTAATTTACAAAGTAGTTTATAAATTTTAAACTACTCGCCATCAACACCACCTTGTATAAATTCGCCTTGGTCAAAATTATGTGTTTGTAGTAAAATGAATTCGCCTTGTTTACAACAAACACATCATTTTGACATTTAGTAGTACCGCGGCGAAAATTTAATTCTCCATCAACACCACCTTGTATAAATTCGACTATTCAAGGCGAATTTATACAAGGTGGTGTTCAAGGCGAAATACCTGGTAACCTGTACAACTGGGTTCACACAGAGAAACTTTTGTTGCTCATTTCGGCAATTTCTATTTTGGTGTAGCCCTTCGCGTTAACACACAGCAATTCTTTTGTACACAATTGTTGTTGTCAGCTGTGAACGACCAATTAGAATTACTCAGAGGAACGAGAGCACAAAACGTGTTGCCAGAGCACGAGAGCAACTCCGTGCCCTTTTCCTTTCCTCGTCCCTCCCTCTCGCACAAGTAACAAGTTGCCGCGACAAAAGTTTCTCTGTCTGAACCTAGACTAAGGGTTGAATTTTGCTGAAATTTTTACATTTATCCCCAAAACTCGTTTGATGAAGTGATAAACTTTGGTCAAATAGATTTCCATACAAAGTTTGACAGTTCACTTATCAAAATGGTAAATTTACCCCTTTATCAAGTTTATCAAGAGTTTATCACTTTTGAGTTATTAATTCATGAACCAAAAATACAAGATCACGTAAGAACGCGACGTTGTATTTGTAACTGGTTTTGAGAAAAAAGTTTGGGAAAGCGGGTTCGTCAGCTGAGCGTTTGTTTACATCACAAGCACCACTATTTTACACTTTTATTCAAGTAAAGAAAAGTTAATTCAACATGACAACACATTTTAAAGCATTTTGTTGCATCATTTTACCTAAATTGTGCGTTTAAAGTGGCTGACAATAATTTTGGCTAATTTTGGTTTTCGTTGTTTTCTTTGCTTTGTTTACTTTTCGCTCGTTTTCCAGTGAAACAAGATGGCGTAGAACCCGCTAAAAAAATCGACTTTTTTCACTCTCTTGTTCTTACGTGATCTTGTGTCTTTCGTTCATGGATGGGCACTGTCACACCGTCAGGTTTTATTGACGTGATCCAAGTATCGCGATATTTATTGACGGTGTAGCATGCAGTATTGATGGATCGTGATACATATCGCAAAATTTCTAAAAATTTTGAAATCAGGATCGCGGATCGCAATACCATCAATAAATATTGAACGTGTAGCACTTTCAAAACGCGATCCATACATTTCGTCAGTACATCTTTTACTCTCATAATGCGAACATTGGCTCTGCCTTCGCTCTCGGGGCTTAAAATCTTGCAAAACAAATTTTAATTAACATTGGAAATTTTAAAATAATTGTGGAATGCATTATCTGTAAATTATACGTACAAAATGAAAATATTTTCTTGCGTCATAATAAGCTTTCAGCACAAAAATTATGCAAATACTCACGCGATAAATATTGAACATGTAGCATTCGTGCGCGAGCCATCAATCCATCAATATGGATGGCGATCCAAATATCGTGATAATTACTGACCGTGTGACAGAGCCCGATGGAAAGCAAATGTCAAGGCGCGCAAATGTCATTTGAATTGGCGCCAAGAAAAGAAAACAACGTTTTGGTGCTTGCGCAGAGCATTGAGGAGCGAAGCTGCTCCAATTATTAATTTCTTTGCTGAGTTTGCATTAAAAAATTTTTAAATTATGGTACTCAAAGAAAATAAGCCCAATAAGGCACCAGTTGTGAAGTGGATCGGTACCAACGAAAGCATAGTTGATGTGCCTAGATTGGCTCATAAAGAAGTGAGCTTTTATCGAAAGTGTATTTTTGAAGATTTAACGCTTAGTTTGGGTGACTTTGTACTTGTGTCCAATGCTGATGCTGCTGAGCCTGATACCGTAGAAGGCTGTGACATTGGAAAAATATTGTATCTGTATGAACTGCATGACGCTGTCGATCGTGATCCGTACCGGGCCATTGTTCAGTGGTACTCTCGTCCTGAGTGTGTGCCACACAAAGAATTTGATCGAGACGATCTTTGTATTGATTTCAATTCGGAACTGATAGAAGAACACCGCCCTTATGACCCAGATATTTCACTAGAAACAATTTTTCGTAAATGTATCGTTTTGTTTGGTGGAACTGAGGAGTGTGCCAGCGCTATTCTACATAAATACAAAGCAAAACGGAACGAGTGTCCAATGTTTGTGTGCCGATATAAGTTTATTAAAGATAAAAACTCATACAGGCTGGTACCATTGGAATGGAATACCGATGATTTGACTGCTACTGGGGTAAAAACCCGTGGACGCAACGATTCGCCGACTACTACCAAGAAAACGAAATCGGCACGCGTAGCTAGAAGTGCATCAGTACGTAAGCAAAAGGTTGATGCCGACGTAGCAGTTAGAAAGCGTAGAGCGTCCGTTGCTGCTGCGACGGCATTGGAGTTCATTGACTGCAACGTTTACGAAAGAGCAGACAAAGTATCGCCTATAAAAATAGTTGGTGGAAGAAATGTGGTACGCTTGTCAGCGAAAAAGAAAATTGCGGCAGGAAATGAGGCAATTGGTGGCTTCACTCCCACATCGCCACTCACCGAACGCAATAGGAAAGTGACAACACCAACAACACGTGTCTCAGCTGCTCGTCGTAATCTAAATTTGAGTTTGGATAATGGCGCTGACACCAGTGTAGAATCTGATTGTCTTAATTATTCTATAGTCAGAACACCAACAACTGAAGAACCGACCAGCGAAATGAAAATCAAATTTAGATTGTCCGCAAAGTAATTGTTAACAAGTAATTTTTAAGCAAAAAAACAAAACCGACTTCAATTCTCATATAAAAATTTAAGATTATCGTTAATTTCTGAAGGATCCAATGATTGGATTTAAACCAAATTATGTGGTAACTTACTGACAAAAAAAATTGCGACGAACTTTTTGTGAAGTCGGTTAAAAATTTAATGGGGAAACTTATTTAAAAATTTTCTAACAAATATCTATTTTATCTCTATATTTTTAGACAACAAGCTTCTAAGCTTGCAGCCATGGACGAGCAATTCAACGATCCACTTTCCATGAATGTAGTAGAGCATACAATCAAAAACACATCAGAGGAAATCTATTCCACCCCCACCAAGAAATCGAAAAGAGTTAGCGATGATACAGATATGACGCCATCTACACGACGCAAAAGTATACTAAAATCAGCCACAAGACAGCAAGGTAGTTTAACTATAACCTTTTTCAGTGTGAATTGTTATAACGATTTTATTTTAGTTGATAGCACGCCAAAACGAAGTATTCAACTGTCGGATATTGTTGAAAAGAGAGTATTCAACGATGAAGATTACATTTCCACACCAAAACGTAAGCCAAAAGGAGATGACAATGATATTAAACGATCGGCACTTAAAAATGCGGCAATCATTCGTCGTCGCAATTCTACTACAGCTGTAGCAGGTGCGATGACTCCTTCGCAAAAACTCAAACTGATGCGCCGTGGTGAGTTATCACCAACAATGGAACATAGGCAAACCTCTGTTTCGACTGAAGCTCGACGAAAATCGGATTTACAACTAGCACGAGAACGCTTACATGTTTCTGTGGTACCACAAAGCCTTCCATGTCGTGAAAAGGAATTTGAAAATGTGTACGCATTTTTAGAAGGAAAAATTCTAGATCAATGTGGCGGCTGCATGTATGTGTCAGGTGTGCCTGGAACTGGGAAAACAGCAACAGTTACTGGTGTAATACGCGCGTTGCAGTGTAAACAAAAAGATGATGAACTGCCCGCTTTTGAGTTTGTTGAAATCAATGGTATGCGATTAACGGAACCACGGCAGGCATATGTACAAATCTATAAGCAATTAACTGGTAAAACTGTTTCCTGGGAACAAGCACATTCGCTGCTTGAAAAGCGTTTCACCACATCAGCACCGCGTCGCATTCCTACAGTGCTTTTAGTTGATGAATTAGATGTACTGTGCAATCGACGTCAGGATGTTGTATACAATCTACTGGATTGGCCAACAAAATCTTCCGCACGCTTGGTAGTGGTGACTATAGCTAATACAATGGATTTGCCAGAGCGCCTACTAATGGGTAAATTGCACACAATTGTAATTAACTTTTCTTTATTTAATATTTTTTATATATATAAAAGGCAAGGTAACATCGCGTCTTGGGCTAACACGTCTTACCTTCCAACCTTACACACACAAGCAATTGCAAGAAATAGTGACAATGCGTTTATGTGGTTCAGATGCCTTTAAAAGTGATGCTGTTCAACTTGTAGCACGGTATGTATCGTACATACGCATATGAGTGTATAACAATAGCCGTCATCGATTCGCCCCTTCTCTGCTCGCTATGTTTGAGTTCCGGTCGCTTAAAGAAGAATTTTGCATGTGAAACCAACAACAAAGTTATCTGGCATGGATAGACGATAGCTAGTTTGGTTGTACCTCATTGAGTTTGTTCGTTTCGCCACTCGCTACCTGTTGGCGAATCGATAACGGCTAAAAAGTATTTAAACATACTTCCGATCTATTTTTTCATTACAGTAAAGTGGCTGCAGTTTCAGGTGATGCTCGACGTGCCTTGGACATATGTCGGCGCGCTACCGAAATCGCAGAAGCAGCCATACTTCCTAGGGACAGTGACAATTCTACGCCAGTTCAAAAATTTGTTGGCATTGCACATGTGCAGCAGGCACTTTCGGAAATGATTGCTAGCGCAAAAGTACAAGCAATAAAGAATTGCTCACGCATGGAGCAACTCTTTTTGCAGGCTGTGCTCGCCGAAGTGACTCGTACAGGAGTCGAGGAAACGTCCTTCTTAGGTGTTTACTCACAAGTCGAAAATTTAGCACCTTTCGAAGGTATAACTGC